CATAGGTAGACACAGCCTTAACAGACTCAATTTTGTTTCTACTCAAGCTACCTTTGAGCTTCGAAGAAAATGAAACACAATTTCGTGATCTTGCCCTACTGCCTATCACCCTCGAAGCAAAATAGAGTAAGCTCCACAAATAAGATTCAAAGGCGCTACAACACCAGTCTTTTCATACGAAACAGCCATCAAATATTTTCTCTAGGCGCGAACCGTCTTCCATGTGGCTTTGCTAAAACAAGTTAGCCAATAGCTTGCTCAGGAATGCATCCTACACGGCAGGAAAACCGTAAACTCGCTGACTTATCAAATCATGGAGGTCATCTTTGACGAGAACAAGATGAGTCAACGAAATACTATTTTGATATACTACTGTGCGTTATTGTGTTTGTTCATCTTGCGCGGTACATATGCAAGCTCTCTAACGAAAGAGACTAATGTCGATTTCGCATTTAGCCAGCTATCCAGGCTTTACTGGACAATTCACGCTTCATCGCTGTTTACCAATCTGCAGTGTATTGGTAAATCTCTTATGCTAATCAGCATCAAGATCAACGATTCATTAGCTTGCGAAGTGCATCTATCAATTCGGACGCAGTATACGCAATCAGCACCTGTGGTGTTTAGACTGCTCCGTTCATCTTGTCCATTAACATACGCTTCATAAGACTCATTCATTTAAAGCCGTGTAAATCCAGACAGAACGTGCAGTGAACCATTCTCGTGCATCGGACAGACATTAATCATTTTCATACACTGCCAACTTTGCATCGCGGCACTCAGAGCCTAAGGCCATCACATACCGGCATGGTTAGTAGCGAAGGGCCGACCGTGTTCATACTGTTTTCGTACATTACAGGTTGTCTCCTACACCCAATAATGCACGCCGTACTCAGCACTCTGCAGCTTGAGTAAGCAAAATCTTTCATTAGTATAGCAGAGGCAGTGCACAAAACTATGGATTCGTATGCCCAAGAATGCTATTTGGCGCAAAACTCCAAATGCGACCTGGTCCTGGCAAACTTGTGTACCAGTTAACAGACTCTGGCACAAGAGTTCATGTTGTGAAGTCAGTCAGCCGATGAAATTT